CCTCACACAGGCACCCTCAGCCTCACACAGGCACCCTCAGCCCTTACATAGGCACCTTCAGACCTCATACAGCCATCCTCACCCTTAGACAGCCACCCTCACCCTCACACAGGCACCCTCACCCTTAGCTCTCACACAACCACCCTCAGCCCTCACACAGCCACCCTCAGTCTCATCCTGACACAGGCACCCTCACCCTCAGCCCTCACACAGCTACCCTCAACCCTCACACAGCCACCCTCAGCCCTCACACAGCCACCCTCAGTCTCACACAGGCACCTTCACACTCAGCCCTCACACAGCCGCCCTAACCCTCACCCTCACACAACCACCCTCAGCCCTCACACAGGCGCCCTCACCCTCAGTCCTCACACAGGCACCCTCAGCCTCCCAAAGCCACACTCAGCCCTCACACAGGCATTCTCAGCCTCACACAGGCACCCTCAGCCTCAACCCTCACACAGGCACCCTCAGCCCCACACAGGCACCTTCAGACCTCATACAGCCATCCTCACCCTCAGACAGCCACCCTCAGCCTCACACAGGCACCTTCACACTCAGCCCTCACACAGCCGCCCTCACCCTCAGCCCTCACACAGCCACCCTCACCCTCAGCCTCGCACAGGTACTGTCACCCTCAGCCTTCACACTTCTCTCACCTCCACGTCCCGCCTTTCGCGCATCCCCTGCTGCTCTCCCACTCAGCGCCACCTCAGTCCCACAAAGGCGGGGCTGGGATCCCGTGGCCCATGTGCTGACCAACGACAACTATAATTCCCAGCAGGCGCCGCGCCTGGGTACGCTTGAGCTTCCGGAGGACGCCGGGAATTGTAGTCCTGGCGGGCGTGGGCCCGTGGGGCGTGCTGGGAGCTGTGGTCCGGGCTGGCGGGCGCGCAAGCTGGCTCGTCTCTGCGGGCACCTCCGGAAGGGTCCGCCGGCTGTGCTGGTGAGGTGGGTTTCGGGGGTGTTCTCCGCCCTGGTCCAGGTCAAAGGGGAGTACAGCAGGTCCAGAAGCCGCGAACGTCTGGGGTGGCCAGAGCAAGATGCGGGGTACCTCTCAGCGGATAGAGTGAGAGGCTGACTAGGGGCCGTGAATAGACGGACTGCGAGTGCCGGACACACGCGCAGAGGATGTGACGGACTGACGGACCCGGTGTGGACGGACCGGGTGTGCACGGACCGACGGACCCAGTGTAGACGCACTCACGGACTGAATGTGGTGCGGACTGACACACTGAGTGCCGGACGGACCGACGGAGAGAGTGTCGGACCGACGGAGAGAGTGTCGGATGGACTGATTGACCGGTGTGGGGCGGGCGAAGTGTGGAGCAGGCGGACAGACAACAGATAAAATGTAGAACCAGTGGCCTGGGAGGGTGTGGGACGGACCCGTTATTGTGTCTGGGAGGCAGTTCTGTGTCTGACACCTCCTGTGTGTGTATCTGACGGGTTGGAGTGTGTGATTCTGATAGGTTGAGTGTAACACTAACCACGGAGTGTGTGACTGACAGAGATGGTTGCCCTTTGAGACTTTGTAGATGGGTTGTGAGATACTGTAAGTGAGAGGGTGAGTGTGTGACGGTGTGATTTCAAGTGTGACTGATATTCTTTATGTGTCCTTGAGATAGTGACTAAGATTATGAATGACTGTGAGCAGAATAATACTGTGTGATGGAAATGCTGCGAGGGCCTGTGTTTGTGTTTGTTTTTGAGACAGAGTCTCGCTCTGTCGCGCAGGCTGGAGTGCAGCGGTGCAATCTCGGCTCACTGCAACGTCCGCCTCCCGGGTTCAAGCGATTATCCTGCCTCAGCCTCCGGAGTAGCTGGGATTACAGGCGCCCGCCACTACACTTGGCTAATTTTTGTATTTTTGGTAGAAACGGGGTTTCACCATCTTGGTCAGGCTGCTCCGGAACTCCTGACCTCAGGTGATCCACCCGCCTAGGCCTCCCAAAGCGCTGGGATTACAGGCTGAGCCACCATGCCTGGCCAGGCCTGTGTTTATTTGACTGATTATAGGTGACATTGAAATATTTCCTGTGTCTGGGTATTTTGAAGGCTATGGCTGACAGACCGTACCTGAGATAATATGTGTTAATATATGATTGACTGAGATTTTTATCAGGGAGACTAAAACTTGGGCTATCCACAAACAGTTTACCAAGCATATGAGAGAGGATTTATGCTTTGCCATGTCTGCAGCTGAAATTGGGCGACTATTGGTCATTCAGCTGGGCTTACGGATATGTCGCCCAGTGTGTGCTTATGTGTAGCAGGGGGCTATGGAATCCATACATCTACTGCATGTTTACTGTGCACCAGGCCTGTGCTGGACACATGTAATAAATCGCCTCACATAATCTCATAGCAACCCTCTGAGGTAGGTACCATTATCAGGCTGGGTATAAGCCATGTGTGAGAAATGAAAAGAACCACCCTCCTTGGTTGGTAAAGCAGCTGTGGATGGGGAACCTCAACCTGATAGGAGTTGAGGTTGGCTGATGAGGCTGAGGAAGTTTCACATACATGTATTTCAGAGACTGTCATGAGGGATTTCTCCAGAACAGGTGTTCCAGGGGTGCAAAAGAGAATTTGGAAGCTGTTGCTGCATGTATTGTCATCCCTGACACCCATGCTCCTCCTTCCCCTCCCCTTCCCCAGATGATTCCCTGCATTCGTGGGTGACCATGCTTAGCCTTTCCTGGTCATTCCATTTGCTTAATGCCTGTTTATTGTGAACCTGCTATAGGGCAAGTCCTGTGTACTGTGGCTCCAGGACAGTCCAGCCTCTCTGAGGAAACAGTACAGAGCTAGCGAAGAGTTACCCAGGGCACTCTGGGAAGAGGACTTAGACTAGTACCAGGTATCTGGGATGACACCTGAAGAAAGTGGCAGCTGAGATGAGGCCTAGAGAGCCCAGAGGAATCAGTCAGAGAGGGATTTCAGAACTCAAGAACAGCAGGGGCAACAAGGGGTTTAGGAAGGCTATGAGAGACCCAAGAGAACTTTACAGTGCAGTGAAGGGGCTTAAACACAGCTTTGCCAGAGGTTGCCAGAGGTCACCAGCTGTCACCAAAAGGTTTCAGGATTGGGGTCTTGTTTTAGAGTAACGTTCTCTTCTTCCTGTGCCCAAGGCCTTTGCTCTTTCTCAGGCCTCCTGCATCTCTGTCCAGGGTGACTTCCTTGAGCAGAGACCCCAAGCACACTGAGTGTCCTGGCTGACATTGAAGGAAAGGAAACAGAAGAACTGCAAATACTTACAACTGTGGGAGTCGTGGATGGGAGACGGAGAGGCTAAGTCTTCGAGTAAGGAGTAGTGTGTGGCCAAAGCAAAGTGTTGAGGTCTCCTAGGAGAGGTTACACTTAATTTAGGGTATTCTTCCTGACTATAAGAGAAAACAAGTTCACTGTGGGAAGTAGAGAATGTCGAGAAAAGTAATACAGTAGTCACCCCTTGTGTTCAGTTTTGGTGAGTATAGTACAATATTTTGAGAGAGAAAGACCACATTCATATAGCTTTTATTACAGTATATTGTTATAATTGTTCTATTTTATGAGTCATTGTTAATTTCTTACTATGGCTAACTTATGAACTTTATCATGGGTATATATGTATAAGAAAAAATATAAGTCTAAGTCCTCTTCCCAGAGTGCCCTGGGTAACTCTTCGCTAGCTCTGTACTGTTTCCTCAGAGAGGCTGGGCTGTCCTGGAGCCAGAGTACTATCCATGGTTTCAGGCATCCACTGGAGGGTCTTGGAACACATCCCCTGCAGATAAGGGGAACTACCATAGTATATAATACCTTGGTAAGGATGTAGAGAAATTGGAACCTTCATCCACAGCTGGTGGGAATGCAAAATGGTACAGCCAATTTGCAGAACAGCCTGGCAGTTTCTTAAAAAGTTAAGCATAGGCTGGACTCGGCCAGGCGCAGTGGCTCATGCCTGTAATCCCAGCACTTTGGGAGGCTGAGGCGGGCGGTACATGAGGTCAGGAGATTGAGACCATCCTGGCTAACACCGTGAAACCCCATCTCTACTAAAAATACAAAAAAAAAATAGCTGGGCATGGTGGCAGCCGCCTGTAGTCCCAGCTACTCGGGGGGCTGAGGCAGGAGAATGGCGTGAACCCGGGAGGCAGAGCTTGCAGTGAGCCGAGATCACACTATTGCACTGCAGCCTGGGCAACAGAGCAAGACTCCATCTCAAACAAAAAAACAAAAAAAAAAGTTAAGCATAGAGTT